TGCCAAGCAGCTGTTACCTGCCAGGAAGCAGCTCCCATCGCTCGGGGATGAGGGTAGCAGAGCTGTGCTCTTTGGCTGTTTACAGCTACTTGTGCACAGAGGAGACAGGGGCAGTGCGATCTGGGTGGAAGTACAGGCTGTCTGCCTGTCTTCTCCTGTGCACTGGGTCCAGGAGGACAGGGGCGAGGATGTTGCAAAACAGGACAGATAAAATTCTTCCAACCATGGCTGGTACGAAGTCAGAACGCCATAAACATTAGCTGTTGTTATTACAAGGTGCAGACATTTCTGCAGACGGCAGGAATGTAATCGCTTAATTCAATAGGTATCTGTGGGAAAATATTTGCAGGGCATTTCGGTACTAGATGTAATATTATAATAAATTTTATGAACTGTTCTTATTCTCAGAGACTTATGTTTAGTTAGGGGGAAATTACCCAGACTGCAACAGCCCCGTTAGAAAATGCAGCTCACTTCATCTCGCCCTTGTCGGTTCCACAAATGTCTTCCGACACAGGGCAGGCCCGGCCCTGTGTCGGGTGCTGGAGATGGGACAGAGAGCGAGCTCCCCGGAGCCCTGCACTGTGGCCGAGGCTTGTGTACTAAAGAGTGAGCAGTTCTACTAAGACTTGAGCACCAAGGAGGTGGTAGAAGTGTGCACAGGAGGATGTCGTGTCTCTGGAGACCTGGAGGGCTTGATTGCAGAGGAGGGGCCAGCTGTCACCCTGCTCTTGGGACACCAAGGAGGCGAGGAGGGGCAACTCCCCACTCAAAAGGGCAAACTCGCATCATCTGCGGGGAGATGGACCCACCGCGAGTTTTCAAGTTTGAGTGAACTAAGTCAGACACAGAAGGTAAAATACTACACGCTTTCTTTTATTTGGGAAACCTAAAGTATAAATATATAAATAGAAGAGTAGAATAATAAAATAATAATATAATAATATATGAATAACTAAAGAACAAAACAAAAGACAGACAGTAGGAGTCAGGGAGAAAGATCTTTTGCAAGGGGAAGGAGACCAAGAGATGAGGGGAGAGGAAGGGACAAAGGGGATGTGAAAAGAACTAAGATGCCTGAGACACAGGTACCAGGACCCTATGATGCATGTGCTTCTTATGTGCTTCAAAAGTGGACTGATGCAAATAAAAACTTAAAATAAAAGATGTTAATGAGGGAGGTGGGCAGGACAAATGGCAGCCCTGCCTCTCATGGGCTAATTTGGTTCCATCTCAGGGATGACCAGTGTCCAGACGCCCCTGGGTCATGAAGAACCTGTACCCCTTTACTCCCACCTGAGTCCTTAGTGCCTCGTGCTCTGCCTGGAACACAATCGCCAGTCATAAGAATGTGCAGGCTGCACAGACGGGACGGGAGCGTCCCTCACCAAGCTGAAGAATTGAGGCTGTCCCCTGAGAGCCGCTAGGGCTATGTTCACAGCAGCACAAGGACAGAACGGGTTTAATTAGACTAAGGCCCCAGCACGGTGAGGATTGGAACGGCGTGGAAAGTCTTAGTCATTCTCGTAGGAGGGGCTGGTGCTGGGGTTGGGAGGGAGAGGGAGAGATGGAGAGTGGGTAGGGAGGAGACGGAGTTTCACAAGGCAAATCCCCGCAGTCCCGGTTGTGCAGGGCCAAGGAAGAAAGTCAGGTGACAGCAGCAGCCCAGGCTGAAGGCGGACAAAGTCAGCAGGCACAGCTCTGACGGCACCCACGCTCCTAGGTGCTTCTGTTGTCAGGGCTGCGCTGGACTGGCAAAGGCACCTGGCTGGGAGCTGCGTCTTTCACTGGGATCCCTGCTGGGGAAGGTGGTGCCCATGCCCATTCCCACGGGGAGGATGTGGGTAACCCCGGCTGTACCCACCTCCTCCCCTTTCCCAAGCCACTTGCTCAAGGTGCATGGATTTCCTCCAGCCTGACAGGTGCTCATCACACCCTGTGGTGAGAAGAAAGCCACAGAACACATCTGCCCTGGCATGTCATGTACTGGACAAGAAGAAGATTTCAGACCAGGGAGGGTGGAAACATAGAGGGAAAAAGGATGAGGCTCAGAGGAGGTGCCTTCCTCTGAAGCCCTTGGGTTGTATTCTGCTGGAAAGAGTAAGGCAAAAACCAACACGTAGAGGCCTGAGGTCAGTACTTATTTCACTGGGTGGAGGATCAGGAAGACTGCACTCAAGACCACTGTGGGTAGGAGTAGTTTTCACCTACCCCACATCCGGACCACAGGTTCAATAAGAGTTACAGGGCTAATGGTATTAACCCCCCAGAGAAAAAACATGCCTTCAGAAATAAAAGGTAAAGTGCCCAGAATGTGTGCACTTTTGTACCATCTTGGTGCCATTACATTTTTCTTCTGTCAAATTGTCTCGAATGGTAAAAGAAGTAGTGCATTCATTCATTCATCACTGGGGAAGATGAAAAGCCAGCAGCCAGGGACACTTCTGGAGGGGCTGGGGATAAAGCCAGCTCAGCTGAGTTTTGGCCTCCTAGGGACCAGGCCTCTGTGTTTTCTTCTACTCTGATTCCCACTTCTGATAACTTTTTTGTTTTTTGGTATCGGGGATCGAACTTGGGCCCTTGTGCTTGTGAGGCAGGTGGCAGAACCACTGAGCTAAATCCCTGGCCCTTCTCTTTATTATCATTATTATTTTCTCTGCTATCATACTATTTTCTTTTTGTTCTTGATTGAATGTTTTGGTCAGAATAATAAGAAAAAGCTGCTGGCTTCTCGTCCTCCCCCATCTGGGTGAAGCAAGTCACCAGCCGGATGACGTTGCTGCCCATCTTGAGCTCACAGGCAAATGGGACAGAGTTGGAGCCCAAAAGAGTGTGAGCTTCCTTTGAAGTATGAATTTTCTTTCATAAATTCATACAAAGTACACTTGGGTTTGCTCTACATGCTTTGTTTGAAAATCAGGTATCCTTGGTGAGACTCAATTCATAAACTTGTGAGACGCAGGGATAAAAGAGCAACTGGTTACCTGCAACCACCTTTGATGGTGTTTTAGGAGGCACTTTTTTTGGAGTGTGTGGGTGATGAGCCCTTCTTCATCTACCCTTGCACCTTCTTGAAGTAGGAGGCCCTGTGCCATGGGGTAGATCTAAAATGTCACCCACACTTCTTCTGTGTTCAGATGCGGGGCTTTGGAAGGGTAATAAGACCCTGGGGTCCCCTATTCATGGTGAATCAAACCACGAGGCAGTTCACAGCTAAATATGCTGTTAGGGGCTGAGGCCTGACTGGAAGAGGTGATCTCTGGGTCCTGGCTGTGGAGGGTGGATCTCCCTCCCTGGACCCTCCACTCTCTCTCTACTTCCTGGCTGTCATAGGCTGAGCAGCTTTCCTCCATCATCCTCTTCCCATGATATTCCTGCCTTGGGCTGAGCCAACCGTGGACTGACCCGTGGACTCGTCCCTGCCCTAGCAGGCCCGGAGTTTGCCTCTGACTTGTGTCCTCTGTCCCAGGATCCAGCAACCATTTCTGCCCTCCAGCCAACCTGAGTGTCTTTCTAATCACAGGAAAATCTTCCCTTCTCTATCTTCTGATGCAGGGAGGGATGTCTTCCTTGCCTCGAGCATTAGATATTTTTGAAACAAAATGTAAGGCTTTCTGCAAAGGTGTGACCTGTGTAGCCCCGAGGAAGCAGGCTGAGTGAATGCTGCTGGCTTTCGTGGGGAGAAGGGAAGATGTCTAATATACAGGGAAAAACAACAATTTTTTAAATTCCCAATGTGTTTTAGTTTCCTCAGTTTCCATGAAGCTTTACCAGTTTATGTGGTGGCTTTGGTCCCTTTGCTGCACAAGGAAGTACATTTCTTTGACTTCACAAATATCTGTTAACACCTCTTATGAGCTGCAGACGTGTTCCCCGGGGACAACATTCTAAGGATGAGCCGGGCTGGAGGAAGAGGGCTTGCTGAAGTGCCTTCTGAGCCAGTGTCTTCACCTGCCCACTCCAAGGACCCCAAAGCTGTCCTGAGGCCAAGCAGGCCCCAGACACTGGGTCTACTTTGCTACCTCCTCTCTGAGACTGTTAATGAGATTCGGAGCAGTCTGCTAATTGCTTAGGCACCCAGTACTGGTAATAAAACTAGGTTTGTAGTTGGAGTCACTCCAGATAATTGGATATTTCCTTTCCTTTTGCATTTTTCATCTCCACTTCCTGTCTTTGGTGCTTTCGGTCAGTTCCTCCTGGTTCTTTCTGGTTTATGAATTCTCTCGTTACCGTGTTCTTTACTGGTGCTGTGGCTTTTAGTACACATGGTAGGTACACAATTTATTTCAGTCAATGTGTCTTTAGTTTTCATGATTTTTAATTAAATTAATCAAACCGGGGATTGAACTTGAGACCTTGTGCTGCCAGGCAGGTGGCGAACTACTGAGCTAAATCCCTGGCATGACTTTTAATTTTAATGTATCAATATTATGCGTAGCGGTTTCTCAGCTAACAGTGAGATTACTTCCCTTAACTATTGTACTTTGTCAAAAGTCTAAGCGAAGGTTCTGGAATATTTTCCTCCCTCCAATCTTGGGTGGGGAAACTAAAAGGGTGTGAACATAACGTCAAGCCCTTTACAGAAGGGAGGATTGTATACTGCATAATTCTAGGAGTTCTGCTCACAATGAATTTGTAGAGATAAAAAGGTTTGCTTGTTCGTTTTTCTTGTGTGTTTTATTGTAAAGTGTTTCGGCCACACCTCCAGGCGAATGGACTTGACAGATATCCACAGGGTCTGCCCTACTGCAAAAGAAGATGCATCCTTCTCAGTGGCTCATGGAACTTTCTCCAAAATAGGCCAGTAGTCCACGAAGCCTGTGTAAAGAAACACAAAAGAATCAAAAGCATCTCCTGTATCCTATAGATCAGAGAGCCCTGAAGGTAAAATCAGTCATGGGGATGGATCTTTTGTAAAAGGGAAAGGGACCGAGAGATGGAAGGAGGGGTTTAGGGAGAAGGAAAGGGGGGTCAACAGAAACAAGATGTTCCATGTACCGACTCACCGGGATGAATGTGACGTTCCACAGATATGCACTAGTAAAGGTAAAAGCAAACAAAAACATTAAGTGTTTGGAGAAAATGGAAGCCTTTTCTAATCCTAAGAAGGTCCTCCCTGGACGAGCTTGGGGACAGACCACAGGGTCTCATGTACAAGGTGATTGACAACAATGACACTTGTCTAGCTTTGGGTTACCGCATCGTGGGCTTCTCCTATCACAAAATGACAAACATAAAAATGTTTACAAAGCTAAGTTTGACAAGGGGTCAGAGCACAGATCACTTTTCCAAAGCCTCCTCCTTTTAATGTTTTTTTTTTTTTTTTCTCTTCAGTGTTTTAGTAGAAAACTTCTACTGTGAAATAATAGCTCGGAAAATATTTCTCAGTTGACTCCAAGAGACTTGTTCCTGTTCTTTGTCCCTTCCCTCTCCTGGGGCCGCCTATTTCAGCGTCCTGTGGCAGTGTTTGTTCAGCAGTTATTGTTAGGCATTGCAAGTGCCCCCAGTATGGCTTTAAATAAGACAACAAGGAAAAGCTGAGAAGACACCCAATACAAAAATAAAATATTCTCAGCATACCTTTCATGTAGACAAGGTCGCCGGGGGAAACGGGCTTTAAAATTAGATCATTAGCATGGAAACTGGAAGAAACCAAACCCCCTCTCTCTTTCTTTCTCTTTCTCTCTCTCTCTCTCTCTCTTGCTGTCTGGAAATGGAGAAGTACAAATCTAGGAAGGGACTTGTAACTGTGTGTGACAAGAAGTCACAGAAACAACCAAGCAATCCGCACCCCAGGGTGTGAGCAGCCAGGGACAGAAGTGTGAGCTGCAACTTCATGGAGTGGTCTGGCATTTTATCTTCAGAAAATTCCCCAGGCCCTAGGCAGAGGAGGGCAGGGGCTTTTCAGTGTTTATCAAGTCTTTCCAGAAGGGGCACATCTTTGCAGGCTGTGTTGCCCTGCCGGCCCTGGCCTGGGTCCCCCCAGGTACCTGCTGCCTTGTGTCCCCGATCTGACTCTGGGACTTGAGCTGCTCAGCTGAAGGGCGATTTACAATTCTGCTGGCAGGGCCACTCCCTCTCCCTCTGCACCCTGCTCCTTTCCAGCAGGGACAAAGGCTCATTTACTCTGGGAAGTGTTCCGAGTTTTATTTTCCAGTGAAAAGGAATAAGTCATTTAGAAAGATAAGCAAAGAGACAGGGTCAAGTGAGAGCATGAAAATACAACCCTCAAAAACTGCAGTCTAAATTCAGTCCAAAACCTGTCAGGACCTTGGCCTCTGTCTCCACTCCTGAATTATCCGTCCTGAGTGTCCTTCTGATAAGCCTCAAAAGCGTCATCCTTTCCAACCGCATTTTCAAATTTTTTTGGAAAATGTTTCACTTTTATTCCTCCACTGTAACACCTGATGCTATCTCAGGGCAGGACCCAGGCAGTGTCCCCCAAAATCTCACCTCAGCGCCCGGGGCACCCCCTGTGTAGCTGGCTGACTTCCACGGGCCGAGCAGGCTTCCTCGTCACAGACAGCCCGCTGGAATGCAACAACGATGCAAATTAATGCTATTATTAAAGGATTTTTCAATGAAATGTGAAGTTTGGAGCCAGATGCTGCCTTCTTAAAGGAAGAGAAATTTAAGTAAGAAAACCTGACAGATATTTGTTCCATGTAGCGTGGCAGAATTTATGGGAGGTCACAGTCTTTGATTTCTGTGGGCTGCGGTTGTCAGGTCCACTTGCAAATGGGCTGTGGGAAAGAGTTGCACTTGTGTAATTTGAAAACATCTGGGACATCTGGTAGATATTACACCCATAACTGTTACAAAGTTGTGCTTCCTTTGAGGCTCTTTCTTCTTTGGCTGTCCCCTCCAGTGGAATATTCACAAGAACCCCAGTAGTTTCCACCTCTATACATCCCCCAGAACAATTTGCTTTATTCTGATACTTTAGAATCCTTTAGTGGGAAAAAAAGGCAAGAACTTAAACGTTTATTGTCCTCTATGGTAACAATGTCACATTCTACACCCTTTGATGGTCCATCGAGCTAATGTTTATCCTGGTGTTCATCTCTGTGTCCCAAGATGTAGCTGTGAAGTGAAGATGTGCACTGAGTTTTCTCCCCAAGGCCTCTCTTCTCCTTATACTGATATTTGGGTCCATTGATTAGATATTGGCCAGGGCTTACCCTAAGCTTGCCTGTATGCACATTCGTACACACAGGAATTCGGGTCTCAGGACTTAAGAAACGATCAGAATCTGGAAAGTTATAAATGTTATTATGGAGTACAAGATCCTACAGGAATCTGAAGTAGTGAGAGACCAGATCCGATCACAGTGCTCAGGTAAAACCTTGCTGTGGAAGACACATTTGGTCTAAGCTGTCAGAGCCCACAAGGGGCAAAGAGGATGATGTGGACAGTGCCCACTGGGAGTGGCTGGGGGTATTTCTGCCAGCTCTTGATGGCCACTCCTTGCCGCCGGACCCCAAGGCCTGTGCTGGACCAGGAAGGCGGGGCACCCGGCAAGCACCTGTACCAGTGCAGAAGTCACTGGAGAGAGAGAGGTGCGTGTCACCTCCCCAAGTCCCCTGATTAGACCACCCAGGGAAACAGGCGGGAAGGAGCTCATTACAAAGCTCTTCCGGTGACTCCACTGATCAGGTTTTTGAGCGCTGGAGCTGCAGGACACCGTGGTGGTGAGAACAGCCCATCCGCTGAGGACTCTGGCCACATACTGACATGGAGATGCTTCCTCCGGGAGGGGGCCGACTCGTGTATACTAAGGCCAGGGTGAGTTCCTAAAAGGCCGAGCCAACCCTGGTGACTTCCTGGATCAGAGTACTGCAGCTCCTCACTGTGTCTTGGAACTGTCTGATTATTACCAAGGCCCTCAGGTGCCGTGTGACTGGACTTTCGCCCATACCCCACCTTGTCACTTCCCGGTTCTCCTTTCAGACTTCCTGACACAGCTACATGGAAATTCCCTTCCTCCCCATGGCTCCCTTTCTCTCATGGTTGGGTTCTAAACCCTCTCATTCCTACCTAACCCCTTACCCCCTCTCCTTCAGGTCTCCTGGTCCCCCAAGAGCACTTCCCCCCACCTCGAGCTCCTCAGAAGCCTGGCTTTTTGAACCCAGAGCAGCTGCTGTGCTTTTAAAGCAGTTCTTTGTTTCTTTCTTTCTTCTTATTTTTTTTGGTTTTTTGAGACAGGGTCTCACTATGTAATTGAGACTGCTCTGGAACTCACTGTGTAGCCCAGGCTTGTCTCAAGCTCACAGTGATCCTCCTGCCTCAGCCTCCCGAGTGCTGGGATCACAGGCGTGCGCCACCATGCCCGGCTCTAAAGCAGTTCTTTATTTCTTGTCTACTAGACAATGGAGCTTGTGAAAACAGGGGTTCTCCCATGCTCCGATCTTGACCTTCCAGGACCAAGGGCTGGGTCTGCAGCACACTGACCAAGGCAGTGAGGGCACCACCAAAAATGGATGCGTGAGGAACCTGAGAACATATTCCTCTCGCAGTTCCGCAATAAACAGAAAGCGAGCAACAGGTCTTACAAACAATTTGCAAAGAGATTCTGACAGCGCGCTTTTGCCATGGTTCAAGTGTGTTTGTGCCGCTAGGGATTAAACACTGACATTCCCAGGTCTTCCTCCTTCCTCCCTTCTTCCCTTCCCTTCCCTTCCTTCCTTCCTTTCTCTTTTCTTTCTTCTCAGTCAGGTCTCTCTAAGTCACTAAGTTACCTAGGCTGGGCTTAAATGTGTGATTCTCCTGCTTCAGCCTCCCAGAGTGCTGAGATTACAGGCATTGCTACGACACCGACAAAATATCACTTAATTTGAAGTGTCATTTTTTTACTTGACAATTTGCTGATAAGGTTATACTGAATTATATCAGGGAATATTATCATTCAAGGAGTTTTCCTGCTGATTTCATGGCTCCTTTTAAGTATTTTCTTCAGATTCATAAGGCTACCCTTGAAAAAAGGACAAACAATGCAAGCACTATTCTAATATTTTAGACCAATGTGATGTTTCTTCTTCACCAACGTTTGGAGATTATTTAGTTACAATTACTACCGAATAGTTGAGAAAATCCGTTAGGTACTGAAATAGCATACTAATTCAAAAATGTCATTATATGATTTGCAATAAAAGACTCTTTAAAGGAAAATTGCCTCCTGAGGCTCTGGAATTCCAGTGGGATAAAAATCATAAGATGTATACTCCTCGATGTTCCAGGAGCTCTCTTAAGAGCTCTCTTAAAATGCTTACATTTTTATATTCATTTTATCAGTGATAAGTGACTTAGTAATGTTGTTTTCACAATTATTTATTTATTTTTATTGGTACATTTTCAATATACCTAATAATCACATTCATCACAGGAATCTGTACTTGTACACGATATATCTTGCTGCTGCTTCTTTTTTTCCCATTTCCTTCCCCTCCCTTCAACCCTTCTCTCCCTCCTTATTTACGAAAGCTTTGTTTCTAGGGAGGAGGAAAGGGAGGAATAGCCAAGGGGAAAAAAGAGAGAAAGAAAAAAATGGGGGAAAAAGGAAAATGTTTTCACTTATATTGATAGTATTTGTAAAACTCTCTCCAGTTCCAGGAGTTTTAGACTGAAACTCTCCAATCCTTCATATGTCTGGCCAGTAGGTTTCTGGGGGAGGGAAGGCTGTCCACAAACCTTCTGTGATAGTTTCATTATGTGTCTTTGGAGTGATGGGCTGTAAGTGCCATGGGATTTGCCAGGGTTTCTGCCTGAAACTGTCCTGGATTGCTGAGTCTTAATTCGCCTGATTTATGGAAAGCATCTACTGCAAAATAAATATGTGTGACCAGGAACTAGGAACAGTGAAAGTGACTGAGCATGAAAAGGAAGAATACAGAAGGATAGGTTCTATGGCTTTAAATGGCCATGGGTGTGACGGGGAGAAATGAGTCTGGGGGTCACAGTGGAGGCAGCTGAAAGAGGTTCTTGGTCGAATTCCTCAGGTCCTCATCTCCCAAGAGGCACTTTGGTGGTGCTGCGCATGATAAAAACATAACTAAGATACACAGCCCTGTTCTCAAGCTGGCTGCACGAGGGCACACATAGACACACACATACACACACACACAGACACACACACACAGACACACACCAGTTTTAGAAAAGACTGGGAGAGATTGAGTTCAAAATGCCAAGGGAGCATCAGAAAGGCACGGAAGGAAGAGGGGGCACAACTGGGAGATTTGGAAAAGTTCCCAGGATCTCCAGCTGGGGCTTGAGGCCTTCCTTCAACAAACTGAGGGAGAATTAAAAAGAAGAGTGTATTCACTGCAAAGGAGGCGGCAGAGTGTAAGTGGATGGAGAAGAGGTCAGGTGTCTGGGGCAGGAGCAGGGCACCGGGGCAGACCTGGGGCTTAGGGAGTGGTGGGCTATCAGGAGGGCAATACAGTAACCCATTTCAGTGTCAGGCTGGGCATTTGTAATTTCCTCCTTCTGTGGTAGAGGCAGTGAAACTTTCTGAGTCTGGATTGATAAGACCAGAATTTTGCTTAGAAACGTGGGCATTAACAAGTTGGAGAGGAGAAGCCTTCTTGTTGGTCATCTTTTCATCTCTGTCACAAAGTGTGGGAGAAAAGCCAATGAGAGGTGGAAAGGTTACTTTGGCTCACAGTTCAGAGCTTCTGTGGTCAGCTGGCCCTACTACTGTGGGCCTGGCTGGGACAGAATGTCAGGGTGCAAGGTATGGCGGAAGAAAGCTACTCACATTATAGCCACCGGGAAGTAGAGAACGGGAAAGAGCCTGCGTGGGAGAGAGAGAGGAAGGGGCCAGGGACCAGCTATGGTCCCCAAGGTCATGATTCGAGATCTCTCCTTTCAAGGAGGCCTTACCTGCTGTTCACATCACCTCGGGATAATACCATTCATTTATAATCTCATCATTAGAACTTTCCTGATCTAGTATGCAGTCACTTCCCCAAAGTCTCCGCAGCTGACGAGCAAGGGTTTGGTGCAGGGGCGGAGGAGCAGTTTCAAACCCAAGCTGTGAGCTGTCTCTAAGATAGAGGACTGTGTTCAAGTCATCAGGTTGGACACTCTGGAGAGCTTTACAGGAAGTGAACCACAGAGTAGAAGGAGGGACTTCCTGCTTGCTGGGATGTGAGCCTGAATAAATGGAGAAGGCAAAGATGATTGTGAAGTGTTAACTTTAATTTTCTAGGCAGTTAATAATGCCATTGGTGAAAGGGTAGAATTCAGCCCTTCCCCACAAAAAGAAAGTAAAAAAGATGGGGGCGGGCAGCTGTGCACTATCTGGGGCATCTTGGGGATTCATGTACAATAGGTGCAACCATAGGCAGAAAGGATTGTGAGAGACGGTGGGGAAGTCACTGGCCAGCTAGTGACAGCTGAGTCACAGCATACATATAGTGTGAGAGAAGACAGGAAAGAAAGAGTCAGGCAGAGAATTCACACAAGCAGAGGTCCCCAGGTGAGTGAGGAGTGCGCCCGGGTGGGAAGGAACCCAGCTGCTGGGCTGGAC